TCAGGATATTTTGTGAACTCATATTTTCCTGCGAACCACTCTTAAAATACGAATTTTTTTGTGAAATATTTTTTTCAAAAACAGTGACATAAAGCATCAAATCGGTCATATAGAAACATATTCAGAAAAAAATCTCAAAAAATTTGTGCGTATACGACATGTGCATATGTGCACAAATGTCGGAAATTCCCAAAGTTCGAAAAAATGGACATATGCACCTGTCGTATATTCACAAGTTTTTTCAATATTTTTTTTGCGAATATGCTTCTACCGAACCGATTTGGTGCTTTATGTCACTTTTTTAAAAAATAATATCACACAAAAAATCTTGCAATTTAAGAGTTGTTCGCGGGAAAATATGGGTTCACAAAAAATCATAACCATATATATATAACTAAACAACCAAAAAAAATTTAAAAGAAAAATCATATCCAATATTTTTCAGAATTATATCCGATATTTTTCAGAAAAAAATCATTTTACTCTACTCGGTACTTTTAGACGAATCATTACAAAAAGTTGAAAAATTATTTTTTTTGTGCATATGTGCGCAGATGACCTGCACATTTGTTGTAACGTCCTGAAAATCCAATAGAAAATTTTTATTTTGAAAATCATAATTCACACATCATTTTGTTCCCAAACCGTTCAAGTGAAAATAGAAGGATTTAAACATCAGATTAAAAATCATCAAGGCAAAATAAACTCTAGGGGATGTTGTGTAGTCACGTCGGGCCCTTCCCTTTCGAACTGATAGTACCTGAAACTTTAAATATGAAACCGTAGGCACAAAGATTAGTGATTTCTCCAAAATACCACATACCATACATACAAGTGCCATGGGCTAGCCCCATGGTCTTCCCTTGCAATGTCGAGGGCCAAATCCCGTTCTTACATACAAGTGTCATGGGCTACCCCCATTGTCTTTCCTTGTACTGTCCAGGGCCAAATCACTGTCTTACATACAAGTGCCATGGTCTACCCCCATGGTCTTTCCTTGTAATGACGAGGGCCAAATCTCGGTCTTACGTACAAGTGTCATGGGCTACCCCTATGATATTTCCTTGTAATTCCGAGGGCCAAATCTCGATCTTACATACAAGTGCCATGGGCTACCCCCATGGTCTTTCCTTGTAACATCGAGGGCCAAAACCCTGTGTTACATACAAGTGTCATGGGCTACCCCCATGGTCTTTCATACAATTGCCATGGGTTACCCCCTTGGTCCTCCATGCAAGTATCACAAAGACAACTAGCATCCACTACTAGAAAACATCCCTTTAATGACGTGCAAACAATGACACGCGCTGATAGAGGACGCGCATTTGTGTGTGCCCTAAAAAATAATGTCAGTTTTGCAAAATTTGAAGGATAGAGGACACGTATTTGTGCGTGCCCTAAAATTAGTGTCAAAAAAGAAAAAAAAGAAAATGCGGAGGGCGCCTTTCATAAAATGTGTGTCATCTAAGTGTGTCGCTTTATAATTTTTTAATAAAACACGCGTTTTAAGGCGGGATTTCACCCGCCTGTTGGATCCCAAAAATTAAACCCCCCGCCTCTTCCAATTAGCACGAAAAAGCCCTAGGCCTTCGTCTTCATAGCAGAATTGCTCTTGCTTTCATGATCAAATGACTCGCGACGAAGATGATAACAATCAGCATAAAGAATCCAAATACTTGAAATAGAGGCAAGGGACGATTGAAGGGACGATTCTACTTCTTTTTTCAAGAACCCTATTCAACATATGCCGACTATCACACACGCACAGACTTATCGCTATGTCTATCTCTCTCTCTCTCTCTCTCTCTCTCTCTCTCTCTCTCTTTCTCTCTCTCTCTCTCTCTCTCTCAAACACACACACACAAAATTGAAGGGACGATTCTAGGGCTTTTTTCAAGAACCATTCAAAACATAAAGGAGTGCTCTCTACAATAGTTTGGCGACGTCGTCTAACCTCACCTCGTCGATGACTGTGACTCCTCGAAGATTTAGGGTTGTGCTCGGTGTTGTGCTCGGTGATTCAGCAACTAACTGAGGTCTAAGGTTATGTGGTTGTATCATATTTTAGAGTATCATTCTCAGATGCTTCAGATGTTCCTTTGAACACGAAGTCAACAGCTGACCGTTGATGCCGTCATTTCCAATGGTGTGGAGGCGCTTCCTTTGCACCCACACATCTGACTTCTCTTTCTTCAACCAAAAACCCGCCGCCGTTCGCCATCCTCAATGGCCTGTAAAACAGGTCACCAAGTCCAACTTCGTAGATTCACTCGACAAAATTAAGAATCACATATCGGAATCAGAATTTGTGGCAGTTTCATTGAAGAACACCGGTACTTACTCGTCCTCATGGCATCGAATTCTGCCCTTCGACACCGCTGAAACCACATACCTGAAGGCGAAGTATGCCGCCGAGAGGTTTCAGATTCTTCAGTTTGTTGTTTGCCCTTTTTCTAGTAGGGCTTCCAATAAGCTTACAGCTCACCCGTAAGTCTGCGATAATCATATCTCACTATTTACATGCATACATCTAATTCGTATACATCGAAACATCCTTGAACTTGAATTGATAATTCAGAATGTACTGATTGCCTCAATAACACTTATCAGAAAAATAATAAACAGACTGATGATCAACACTGTTTTCTCAATTCATCTGTAGGTTCAACTTCCATTTGTTCCTGAGGGATGAACTGAAAACAGGGATGCCCTGTTACAGTTTTTCATGTCAACCATCGTATTTAGCTTCAATGGCTCAAGATGATTTTGACTTCAATCTCTGTATATATGATGGTAACCCCCATCTCTTCTTCTTCCTCAAAACCGTCCGATTTCTTATTCAAATGTTGAAAAACAACATTTTATTTCAGGTTATTTTTGTCTCTAAGAAACTTGTAATTGGTGTGGGCTATGACTGCAATCCCATGGTGTTTGCAGCAGATGGAATAAGATCATGGTACAATTCTAAGTTTCAGTTTTCAGGGTTAATTGCAAGAAAAATGAATAAAATTTCATTTGTTTTCTTTGATCTATGTTCTTAGGAGCTTTGTGAGGCTCCTTGATGAAAAAAAGTCAGCATCTTCTACTGTAAGATATGGCTCACAGGTTCTTCTTACACTTAAATCATTTACGCCTTTCTTGATGAAAAAAAAAAGTCAACTTTGTTTATATGCCTACTTATATGACCTTGGATGAGCGTTAAACTTTCAATATTTTCACAAAAACTTGTAATATTTTGGCATCAAACTCCTTACTTGGTGGGTACTTGGGCAAACTTGAAGCGTGGCAAGGTAAAGGCTTTGTTTTCCCCAAAAAAAACATGGATTAACGTATCAAGACACTGACCCTTTACCTATTTTGCCCTTCTTTTTTATCCTTTCAAGTCAAAATTCATGAGTATTGTGAAATTTGTCTTTTGGAAAGTAAGGGTATTAAGACACCTGTGACACTTAAGACTTACCCTAAAGCTAAGGCCTTATCAATGCAGAGAAGGCCTGTTTCTTCCCAAAGGGTAATATCAGAAAAAGTTAGGTCGCCTCCAATGGCGGTTGCACAGAGATGTAGAGCTTCTTCTCAAGTGATACATGAAAGAACTAGAATTAGAACCAACTGGCAGGAGGATAATCCACAAACCACTGGAAGAGGTTTGATGTCTAACTCTAAGAATGATGATATGAAGATTTGATGATTGATCATGAGTTATTTTTAAACACTCTTCAATCTCGCCTTACAAAACTCCAGGTACCTGTTAATTTTCAGTATTATTAATCAAATGAAATGAACGTAGCAAGTGGTTTAACCAGGTTATAGGACATTTTTGTTTTATTTGTGATTGGATTGACCAGGTTATAGGACATTTTTAGGCACGAAATGACACAATGAGTGCTATTAATGCCTTGCAGAAGTTACCAGATCAAGTGAGTATTCTGTATTCATTCATTGCAGAGTTTTACTTTTACAACAAATACTTTGTGTTTTATCATTTTGACATGTTATTTTGTGTGATTTATTTCAGGTACATGCAGATGTGATTAGTGTTATGCTGGAAAACACCGAGTGTTTAAATTTAGATCACTTCTCTTGCTTGTTGCCTTTACTTTTGGGATTACTTGATAGCAACACAGAGAGGCATATAAACGTGTCATTGAAAATGTTATTGAAGCTTGTAGCTGTAATAAAAAGAAATGAAATAAAAGTGTATTCCTAAAATCGATGCAAATATATGCACAAAAGAGTGTAAATATCATATTGTTTCATGTAGTTTTTACCAGTTCAGGTAAAGATTCAATTGATTATTTTCTGGCTATGTGGTGAAATCTGACAACCCTATAGTGTGATCATATTGTCATGTTTAACACTGTGTTATTCTTTTTCAGGCCAAACAACACCTTGAAAATGTTATTGAAGCTTGTAGCTGTAATAAAAAGAAATGAAATAAAAGTGTATTCCTAAAATCGATGCAAATATATGCACAAAAGAGTGTAAATATCATATTGTTTCATGTAGTTTTTACCAGTTCAGGTAAAGATCCAATTGATTATTTTCCGGCTATGTGGTGAAATCTGACAACCCTATAGTGTGATCATATTGTCATGTTTAACACTGTGTTATTCTTTTTCAGGCCAAACAACACCTTGCCTTGCTATGTTTGGGTGAAATTGGGAGAAGAAAAGATTTGAGCTCGCATGCGCACATAGAGAACACATTTATTGAATCCTTTCAGTCTCCTTTTGAAGAGATAAAATCTGCAGCCTCTTATGCACTTGGTAATATTGATGTTGGAAATCTTCCATAGTACTTGCCATTTATCTTGAACCAGATCGATAATCAGCAGAAAAAAAAACAATATCTCTTGCTTCACTCTTAGAAAGAGGTATCTCCAACTTCATATTTTTTCTTTTAAATTCCATTTCTGATACCAGATATAATAATGACTTATGTAAAGGGTTTAACTGCAATAATAGCAACTTACTATCCATCCTACTTCCATTTCAATGCTATAATGGGTTTATTTTCCTAAGTACAATGGCCTTATAAGAAAAACCGAGTTAAAATATTGAAAGTATGTTCCTGTTTCTTGCATTTATCAAATCTGTGACTTTAACCAAGATTATTTTAATCTTTTCAGGTGATAGTGAGACAATCTGTAGATAAAGCAGAATTTCAAGATTCTAGTGAAAAGAAACTAAACTTGCTATTCAACCACTGTGAAAGTGAGGAAGAATGTGTCCGAAATGTGGTTGCTAAGTGTCTGGGAAAAATTGCTTTGATCAAGCCTTCAAAACTTCTTCCTGCCATCAAGGATCAGGATCGGGTAAGTATCTGTATATATGCTGGAATCAGGGGAGGAATGTTGGAATGGAAAGAAAACTTTTTTTTGTCTAATTCAACGGAATGGAGAAGACCCTATTTTTTTTTCTATATGTATGAGTTATGAGTATGGTCTCTTAAATTTTGATAAACTTAGGCAGCATGTTAGGCATGCAACTGTTTTGGCTCTGAGTATAGCTGGCCACAACAAGCCAAATCTCATCAAGGGACTTCTTCCAGAACTCTTTCCACTTTTGTATGATCAAACAGTTATTAAGGTAATTATCATATATTTCCAATTGTACCCTTGTAGTTATTAATGAAAGTAAATATGTAGTGATTGTATTGTTATTGACAGAAAGAACTGATACGAACGGTGGATCTTGGACCTTTTAAGCATACGGTTGATGATGGTCTTGAGTTGAGAAAAGCAACTTTTGAATGTGTAGATAAATTGCTTGATAATTGTCTTGACCAGATGAACTTAGTAGAGATACATGTATTCTATAGATACAGGTATTCTGCACTACCTGTTATAGCATTTGGCGAGCAACTTAGTGGAGATACAAGTATTCTATAGAAGAGGAAACTAAAGATAGAACGATAATTCAAAATGGTAATTAGTTAACCTTTTCCACTATTATTGTTGTAGATGGAAGCTTGAGCACTGTTGAAACTTTGACTTCTACTGCTATATGTGGTCTCATACACTCAATACTTGGGAGTAGCAGAACCTACTGTTATCATGTACACTTACTTGTATAACTTTTCTAAAGGGAGGCAAGATTTGGGGCAAAAACTGCTCTTGGCATGGATTGTATGGTAATTTTATATAAGAACCCTAGTATTCCATGCTTTCTGAATCACCAATCCTAATTTATGTCTTAATAGAAACATTATTCGAATTTGTAAGTCTTGTTGATATGCATGGTGTCAAGCAAAGTAGCTCGGATGTTGGGAAGGTGGGCAACAAGTTCTTGTAGTTCAACTATTATTTGTTGATGACTTTCATCTCTTTCACATTTGATGTATTACATTTGTCTACTATTGTAATGATTATTTGTATGACATTAACTTTTGTGCAATGGATTGTATTTTTTGTATATGGTATTTTACTTTCTATTATGAGACATGAAATGCAAATTTAATTTGAAAACTAGTAAATCTATAAATAATTTTTTTTTTTAATTTTAAAATTACGATACGCAAAAATGTGTGTCGTCTTCATTTATGACATGGCCTTTCTTGACAGCGGCTTTAATGATACGCATTGTGTGTCATAAATGTGCGTCGTCTATAGACGACGCGCAAAAGCGTGTCGTCTCTCGTTATGACAGGGCCTTCCTTGACATGCATTTGCGCGTCGTCTGAGCGTTTTACGACACACATTGCGCATCGTAAAAGGCTGTTTTTCTAGTAGTGATCCTACTTAGTATAGTGAGAAGACTCACAATAAATTGAAGAACCTTGAAACACTGCGATACGATCCCATTTGCACTGCTTGCTACCGCGAACCTGCTAATTATCACAACCTGGAAAAACCTTAATCAACAGTCGTAAATCCTCAAGTTTGACCCAAAGTCAAACTTGGTAAAAAAAGTCGACGGTCAACGGAAGTCAACAAAACCTAAAGTCCAAGGATTCTCAGTACGTCCAACGTACTCAACGTACGCCCAACGTACGCGGTCTGTCCTTACTCCTCCATTAAGAACTTTATCCATTAAGGTCTTTTGTCCAAAGCTTATATCTAGACTTAGAACATCGACTTAAGTCATAAAGTTTCCACCTTTATGACTTTCCATGGCTAGAAAAGATCCAAAAGATAAAACCCTAACTTATTAATCCATTAAGACATCATAACTCTTGCATGGAAGGATAGAAGGACCAATATCACATTAATATTACTCCTAATAGCTCCGTAATGGATAAAGTTTCCAACTTTATCCATTAGGATGGTCCAAACAACCAAGATCTAGTCATTAAGTCTCAAAGGGTTCAAAAATGCATTTTTCTCAGCTTAATCCATTAAGTCCAAGTCTCCAACCTTCAGATCTGAATCAATATGAGGATTAGAGGGATAAAGTTTCCAACTTTATCCATTACAAGGTCACAAGCTTTCAAGATGTAAACTTTATGCACTAAAGTGACCAAAAGCTCATAATACTCAAAACTAGCTAGATCTAACAAATTCATCAGCAAGATTCATGCTTTATATCTCTAGAAGGAAGGTCAAGGTGAACAAGGTCTGGATCTATAAGCTCCAATGCAACCAACACATCTCCAATGAGCTCTTTCTTTTTTAATATGCACCAAAAACACTCCAAAGCACTCAAAAACACCTTCTTTTGCTCATAAGGCTCAAACTAGGGTTAGGGTTTCAAGGGAGGACGTTGGAGAGGTGGAGACTGAGAATGGAGAGGGTTTGGTGAAGTTAAGGAGCTTAAATAGGTCTCAAAACCCCAAAATTAGGGTTTGGGTTCTGATCGCGTACACCCAACATACTCCTGGTATGCCCAGCGTACTACTTTGATCCTCTGCGATCAGTCTTGCCTAGTACACCCAACGTACACCCGTTACGCCCAACGTAATAGGCTAAACCGATAACCTTCCAAACTTCAAACGGTCGTAACTTCTTCGTTCCAACTCTGTTTTCGACGATCTTTATATCCACGGAAAGTTATTGAAGAGCCCTAAAATATTATCTAGATATCTTGGACTAAAAACTTCTCGAACAAAAATCCATAATTTATGAAAGAAGCCCGAACCTAACCTTTCACATTTTACCCATCAGCTTCCATCGAACAATCCAAGACTTAAATCACTTGTCCAAAATCATACACCTCAATAGATTCTAAACGTCATTATATTGAAGCCCAAGCCCTCCATGTGATCCATTTATTGTCCACAATCTTGAAATATGAGCTCCTCAAAACGGGATGTTACATTTGTATATATTGTTGGATTAGTGTCTAAGTCTGTAACTATATTTGGTATGTACTTGACCCGAGTGTGCATGGTCCTTTT